CTCCTGTGCTCGCCAATCCTGCAGGGCCGATTCCAAGCGCTGGCGGCAAGCGAGAGAGGATTTTCCTTCTTGTCCAGGAGGGAGTTAAGCTGCTCCTGCACGTCGCCCAGATGTCCACCGCAGGGGAAGTAGTGGCCGCAGGGAGCCGTGCCCAGACAATGTCCCGCGATCGAAGTCCGCATTCATCCTCACATGAGAGCCGCGCGAGTGCCACGAGCTGTAGGGGTGGGTGTTAAGAGGGGGTGCAAAGGGAGGATGCTGGGCAGAATTTTTGCCAGGGACCCGTATCGAGATTGACATGAGAGCCCACGTCATGCGCGAGAGGTGCCACAGGCTGTGATGATGAGCGCAGGGACAGCCAGGCAGTCCAGCGAAACACCGACGCGAGATGGCCCATCAGGTCACGGGGAGCGTGCCACGAATGCCACGGACCGAAGGTGGTGAGAAGTGCCAGCGATCCAGCCAGAAGGGGGAGAGCGTCGAGTGTGCGCGGACACGCACGCAGACGCACATCACTGGACGCTGGATGAGATCTGGAGAGCATGAGATCTGCTCGGTTTGGCAGGAAGTCATCGTATGCCGCAGTTGAGAGGCGCTGCTCAATAGAGGAACGCGTCGAAACCCAAGGATAAGCATAGCAAAAACGATGCGGCACCTTCGGATCGTGCGAAAGAGCCGGGCAGGAACGGCAAGCAGACAGAGCCTTTCCCATTGTTCCAGCTCCCTCAGACAAACGGCATGCACGTACGACCACCTTGCGTGTGATACGACAACCGCGGGACAACCACAGGACCATTGAGAGAACACCATCGGACACCATCGAAATCCCATCGTCACACCATCGGGGCACCATGTGGGCACCATCAGGGCACCATCGGGAGGGACACCATCGAAACATCATGGGGACACCATCGGGTCACCATGTGGGCACCATCGGGACACCATGTGGACACCATCGGGACACCGTCAGGACACCATTCGGAACACCATCGAGACACCACTCGGACGCCCGCGGAACACCATCGGGACTCCAACGGGACACCATCGGGACACCACCTGGACGCCGTCAGGACACCCCCGGGCCACCGCCAGCCAACTGGTCGGAGAATCATTCGGCCCGGTTTCGGCTTAGCAACAGCGACGCCATTGAGACACTATCGGAGCACACTTGGGACACCATCGGGACACCCCTGGGCCACCGCTGGCCATCCGGGCGGAGAGTCATTTGGCCAGGTTTCGCCCTAGCATCGGCGGGTTCATTCCTCTCGGCCTCCTCATGCATTTTTCACCTCGCCCACACCAACGACACGAACACGACACCGAAACCGATTTCTCTGTGGGTTGTCTCCGTTCCCCTTCGATCTCACCCCCCGACTTCCGACAACAGCTTTCGGAGGTCCGCGCAGGCGCTGGAGAGCTCCCCTTCCCACGCCCTGCACACCGCAGCCGCCAGGCCCCAATGGTGTTGGCGCTCCCTGGGTATGCGGTATCGCGTCTTCCACGAATGACGACCGGGCATGGCCCTTAGCCTGTTCCGAGACCCTCAGGACCCGCAGCTCGTGCCCCGCGAGGACAGGCTCGAGGGTTGCGCAATACCCGCGCGGGGCGCTTCTACAGAAATGCAGGAGGCAGGAGAAGGTAAAATGGATGATGGTGGTGATGATGAGGAGGCGTCACGGGATGACTGGGATAAGCTGTGCCAGAAGAAGGGGGATGCGGACGAGGATGAAGCCGAGGATGAGCAGGAGGAGTAAGAGGAGGCCGAGAAGAGGACGGACACGGAGGAGAGAAAGGGGGATGAGGATGAGGTGGACGATGAGGAATTCGGAGCTGGAGGACGAAGTGGATGAGGTTGACGATGAGGACGAGAAGGAGGAGGAGGAGGAGGAATACGACGAGGAGCAGAATGAACAGGAGTTATTTACTCCCCCGTTGTCGTTGTACCCCCGCTTTTTTCTCGTCGCTGACAAGGGCTGTCTTCCACTCATCACCCCGACGCTGCCCCTCCCCGTGGCGGAGGGAGAAGGGCGGGGGGAGAAGACAGACGAGGCGGGAAGCGAAGGATGAGAGGCGTGGGGGAGGAGGAGGAGGAGGAGGAGGAGGAGGAGGAGGAGGAAGAGGAGGAGGAGGAGGAGAAGGAGGAGTCCGTGCCGAGCGAACGTCTCGAGGCGGCTGCTGCTTGCCGCTGCCGCCGACGGCCGTGCAGCTGCCGCCGGCGGCTGCAGAGCGCCAGACGGCGCCAGTTCCTTCCCGAACCGCTCGACATCCGTCCGCAGCGTTGGAATGGTAATGAGGAGGAGCAGAAGGAGCTGGAGGAGGAGACGGATGAGGCCTTCTCACTGGCCCCGTCAAGGGTGTATCTCCACTGAGGGAAGTGTCCTCCTTGGGAGACAGACGTGCGAAAATCCTACTGCGTGTGAAGAAACAGTTTTCAGGCAGCCATCTCCAGGAGTCAACCTGACTGTTGCGTTTCGACGATCCTGAATCGTGCCAGAGCGCCGTTCCCGGAACCCCAACACCGCGAATCAACGTAACCGTCGCGCCCTGACACTTCTGAGCCGGTCCCGAACACTATTTCTGGTACGCTGACCATGGGAACCAGCGAAACTCTTGCAAGCTGTTGAACCGAATGTGTTCGGCGCGAAGGCGGGAGCCACAGTTTCAAAGGAGCCGCCATCAATCCGTGAAGCTCTTGCTAATTTTGAAAACGAATGTACGCGCCGCTCGGGCGAGAGCCACGCTTTTGAACACTGGCCGCCGTCGATCCGTGAAGCTCTTGCCATGTTTTCAAACGAACGCGCGCGGCGCTCAGGCGAAAGCTACCTGTTGAAAGCGACCCGCCCTTCCGACTGGCCTCGGGGTGCGTCAGGGAGGAGGAGCGAATCGCGCCACCCGCCAGGATGGGCATGTCGAAGGAGGAAAAGGAGGCGGCGGATGAGGACGAACGACGATGAGGATGAGGAGGAGCAACAGGAGGAGGAGGAAGAAGTGGACAAGCCAACTCTGAATCTGGATGCCCGCAGCACAGCGTCCGGTGGACGAGGTGGAGAGAGGGAAGGACGGAAATGCGAGGGGGGAGGAGGACGCCGGCGGGGCCGACGAAGGGGAGGGGGGAGAGAGGGGGCCGCCCGTTGGAGGGGTGCTCGGGGCAGCGGCATCGAACCCGCCGCTTCCCGGAGGGCAGGGGAGCGAGGGAGCAGGAGGGGGAGAAGGCGAACGAGAATTGTGATGATGAGGATCATTGGGATGATGAGGAGAAGGAGACGTACGAGTATAAACCCAAGAGTCACCAACGATGTTGGAACAAACCCTCCATCCAACCTCCCTCTTCAAAGCCCACTACAACGGTCCGTTTCCACTGAGGGAGGGAACTGCCCTGATGGAAAACAACCGTTTGAAGACCCCGAGGCAAGGTAATGAGAAGGCGGTTCCTCTCGCTCCGCGGGGTGCACGTCCGGAGCACGTTCGGGCTGGGAGTTGGGTTGGTTTGCCCCGCGTTTCTGCCGCGCTGTTCTGCCTTGTCGCTCTGCCTGCCCCGGGTCGCTGCCAGCGCGACTGGGGGGGCGGATGCGCCCATCCCCCCCCCGCACATCTGGGCCGGGACGCGCGTGCGAACGTCCACGAGAGCAATGAGCATTCACCGCATTCGTTTGCATGTCCGCGGGCCCCTTGGTGTTTTTTAGTGGCCGTTTGGGGGGCCTTCTTGGGGGCCTCTTGGAGGCTTCTGGGGGCCCCTGGGGGCCTCTTGGTCTTTGGGGCCTCTTGGGCCGTCTTGGGGCGGTCTTGCGCCGCCTGGCCCCTTCGGAGGCCATCTTAGGGGCCGCTCGGGGCCGCCGTGTGGCTCTCTCGGGGTTCTTTTCGGCCGTCCTGGGGGCCTCTTGAGCCGTCTTGGGGGGCCTCGCTTGGGCCATCGTTGGGTCTTCTTGGGAAGTCTTGGAGGCCTCTTGGACCGTCGATGAGCTTCTGGGCCAAATAGGTGCCGTCTTGGGGCCCTCTTGGGGGCCTCTGGAGCCGTTTTGGGGTAATCTCGGGAACTGCTTGGGCCTTCATGGGCTTCTGAGACGCTGAATGGTGAGAACTCGCTAAACTCCTTAAACACATATTGGAAATCGATGGTTTGGGCATCTGAAGGCACTCTTGGGAGTGCTCTCGGGGCCTTCTTGGGCCGTCTTGGGGGCTTTGGGGGCCCTGTTGAGGCCATCTTGGAATGTCTTGGGGCCGTGTTGGCTGCACTGGGACCATCTTGAGCCGTCCGCCTTCTTAGACCCTCGAGAGGCCCCAGAGGCCCAAACTCATATAGTTGTATTCGGGTTTGGAAGTTGGAGGGCCCAGAAGGAATCCTCCACCTTGGGGTCGACGGATTTGGGGTGGCCCAGCGCAGCGCGGGAAGGGGGAGAGACGTAACAATGCAGCACACTACAATCTGTAGTTTTGTTCGCAATACTTGCATACATTGGACACGTTGCATTGAGGCGTTCGCCGAAACGACGCTGCCTCTCAACACGTCGCCTCCGGACGTGAGTTCTACAGGCTTACGCCACAGTCGACGACCCCTTTGATTTGAAGCCTCGACAGAAACCCGAGAGGCAGAACCCCCCTGACCAGTTCGTCGGGGGGCCGTGCCGGGCCAGACTCCCCCCCTCTCAAATTTGCAGTCCGGGGTCCTCTGGGGGGATCTCGGGGGAACCAGCTCACACGCCTGGAGGGCGACAAGGAGCCAGCGGACCGAAGATGATGAGGGGCGCGGCGGAGGCGGAGGTCAGCTTCTCCGACTCGACTTCAGTACGTCGAGTCAGGTAAGCACACCCCGACCATCATAATCGGCATTGACAAGCGCTTCTGCGGCTTGCTTGATATTCCTGTTTTGTCCGATCCCCTCTGTAGCGCGTTTACTCGAATGGGCTCGTTGGCAGGGGTGGTCATCGTGCGAGCGTTTTTTGTTTGCCCTGTATCCGTGTGTTGTCCTGACCCCAAGGCTGGTGGGGCGGTGGCACCAGGGCATGAAGGCCGACGCGAGCGCGATCGAACTGAGCCCGCCTTTCGTTTACCTCGACTTCTCCGCGAAGAGGAGACAGAAATGCTTTGCGGCCTCGCTGCGGCTTCCAGCCGAGCTGAACGCCACCCTGGTGAAATTTGATACGCGGGCATTGCCATTGCCGCCGGCCCCCTTCAGACCTGCTACTCGTTCCCCGCCGCATGATTCCCTCTCAGACTCATCCCTCTTCCATTCGTCCTCCCTCTCGCCAGCCTGGTGCCTCGTCGGCTACCGCCATGGTTACTGTCGTAGTCACCCGAGTCGGTGGTCCTGGCGAGGGTGTGGTGGCGGCAGCTGCAGTGCCGAAGCGCGTCATGGCATTGAGGCAAGAACCCTGGAGGATGTGCCTCCGAAGGGGCTTCTTGCGGGCAAAGAACAGCGTACAAGTGCCTCGTTTGCGTCATCGGCATCGTCGTGGTGCGTTCCGCTCTGCTCGGGATTCGTTTTTCTGAGGTAGCTGCCGCCCCCCGCCTCCTGCTGCTACTCCTGCTCCAGCTCCTCCCACCTCCATCATGCTCCCTCTCTCTCCTGCCCCTCCTCTCCCTGCTCACCTCGCCTCCTCTTCACCGTGAATGCCGACGCCTCAAGCCCGCTAGCACATCAGTCACACCATGTCAGCAAGACTCGGTGGAATGCTTCTAGTGTGCCCTCGGCGGCAGAAGAGAACCCGCCGATCGCTTTGGGATACCAGGGAGAGCACCCACAAGGAGTATTGCAGATAGCGATGAGTACTACACAGAGTAACGTAGCGAGTGCTAAACCTATGAGAAACCATGCAGAAGGGAGACCATACGGGAGACCACATGGGGGGTGGCATGTATGGGAGACCAAACGGGGGGCCATGAGGAACACCATGCAGGAGGTTGTGCGGGAAACCGTGCGGGAGACCATGAGGGAGACCATGCGGGCGATGATGCAAGAGACCATACGGGAGAGACAGGTGGGAGATCATAACGGAGACCGTGTGCGTGTGTGTGCGTGTGTTTGCGCGCCTGTGTGCCATCTTTCCCTAGCCAGGAACCCGTATTCTCCAAATCTTGTGTGTGCCAGCTTGTCTGCGCCAGGAACGTGTATTCTCCAGATTTGGGTGCAGGGAAAGCCTGGCCAGGTTCGGCGTAGGAAGTAGGTGGATCGTTGACTCTCTCCTGGCCCTTCATCCTCGAAGAGGAGACGCCAGAGAAACGAGCTTCGATTCGTGGAGCCCGCCGCCGCTCAACAAGCTTGGTTGGGCCTTCACTCGAGGGCCCCCGCGTGCCTGAAAGAGGACGGGTACGATTTCGGCTTCGGCGTCGAGGTGGAGGTCGAGAGGAACTTGGAGGCGAAGGGGAGGATGACCGAAGAAGGGGAGCCAGCACAACATACATGAATCGGCGCTGGAACCCCCTGGCGGCGCTTCCTGCGTCGCCCCTGGCACGTTCCGCGAGTTAGGGAGGGGGGTCCAGCGCCGATCAAACATATCCGCGCGGATTCCTGGAAGTTGTTGCTTCCACCGACCATCCTTGTTCCAGAAAGGCAGGAGGAGGATACAGAATGAAGAGAACCAGGTGTCTTGCGTGGCTCTGGGCATGCTTGGCGCATTGCAGTGTCACTCATGAGCTGACAACTAGCACCGTGCTGCCCATAGATTTTGCGCGGTGGGAATCCGTGTGGGGCTAGGGGTGTCTGTTGTCGGATGTGGGCCGCCTCTCGAACGGGAGCCCCCTCGGGGTCCGACAGCCCGCGCGCAGACCTCCTGTAGCGCATTCGTCCCCTCGCCCTGCCCCATTCTTCCTCCCTGTAGGCTTGTGCGTGTGTTGCACCATCGCTGGTCGCCAATGAGTGCGACTGGCTTGCCACAGGAGGGGGGCCCGCGCTCTTCCCGCTGGCCCCTCGCCCCCGTGCCACGCGCCCGTGGGGGCGTTCCTGGACCTCCGCCCGGAAGGTTCGCCGAGGTAGGCAGGATGCCACGTTGAGGCAGCGACAGGGACTTCCCGGAGGTCTGGATTTTCAGAGGGGGCGCACATCAAGAAGCCATGTGCTGTTCGTCAGGGTATCCTGGGTTTTTTCGCTCCTCGCACTGCGCAGTGACTTCCCGCAGCCGTTGAAGGAGCTTCTGCGTTCAGGGTGCTCCAGGTTTCCCGTCAGGTGCACCTCGCGCACGGGTTCTCAGGGTTGGGTTTCTTGCGAGGGTTTCTTGCGGCAGCGCGGCGCGTCCGGCGCCGCCTTTGGAGCGCTCCACGTGCCGGGAAGAGGGGTCCAGCGCTGATCCAAGAAAATCTGCCCTGACCCATCACAGTTGTTGTGTATGCCGAATTGGGCTCCGTCAGGAGAAGGGCGGGAAGGACAAACGGAGGCACGAGATGTTCTTTTTTTATTAGCACAGCTTTGCGCCGCTGTAGGCTTTAGGCCACAGCCCGCGAGGAATCCGAGGGGCGGGTGTCTGGGAGGGGCTGGCTCTTCGAGGTGCAGGAGGAGGGGTCCAGGGGAGGGGGCGCCTCCTCCTCCTCCTCCTCCTCCTCCTCCATCCTGCCAGTCATCCGAGGAGGAGGAGGAAGAGGAGGAGGAGGAGGAGGACGAGGAGGAGGAGGAGGAGGAGGAGGACCAACACGTCCGATCTCGCCGGGAACGGAAAATGGACAGGCAAAGACAATTCGATAAGCAGAGATCGCGCAGCTCAGCGAGATACAAAAGCCAAGCGAAACGCACGAGGAGACCCATGCGATCAGCGAGGCACAACCTAGGGTGGCGAGCGTCACCGAACGGCTAGTGCAAGCGTGGACCACAACTCGGCAGGATGCGATGCACGAGGATGCACGTACACGAAGAGCAACAATCAGATTTCTCGGATCATAGCTCATGCAAACAAGACAGTGCTAAGGTGAAATCGCCGTTAGAGCATGTCCTGCTGTGGGCAGGCCGAGGAGGGGGCAAGTCGAGGTCAGAACCGCCGCCATCCGACTCTGGGAAATGCAAGCTGCATCGCACTTCTCGCTCACGCAATGCGCACTCGATACCACCTTTACAAAGGAGCTCCCAGGATTCGACCGTAAATTCGGAGGAGTCGCTGGCGGCACTCTTGCGGCGAATTCGACGTCGGAGGACGAGGTGGAGGAAGGGGCGAGGTCACGCCTGGAAGGCGTGCGCGATCCTTCCCCAGTCCAGTCCGCCCCCCGCTCACCACCGCCCCCGCCGAGGCGGGGGTCGGCGGACAGGCCCCGCTCCCCTCCCACGAACCCGAACCTGGGAGCGCAGCGCCCAGCAGGCAGGAGGAAGGGGAAGAGGCCGAGGAGGAGAGCCCGCAGGCGACTGAGCTGGCCGTCACCAGGCTCGGTGCCGCAGATCAGCACGGTCGCCAGGACGATCGCGTCGCGCGCCACTACGACGGGCCCGGCGTCCCAACCACGAGGGTGCAGACCTCCATGTCTACTCCAGCGGCGGCACGACGACCCAACTCATCGGCTCCTGCATGTTTGAGTGGGATCGTGCCTGGAAAAAACCAGACGCGGGTGCCCTATGCACCCGCACCCCATGATCAAAGACCCTAAACAGCAAGCGGCCCGGAGCGAAGCGAGGTTATCCTTACGATCACGCGCCCCTGGGCGACTGGAACAGCCAGCTGTTCAGGGCAAAAGCGGCAGCGAGCAGCGGTCGCGGGCCTTTTGGCACCGCAGGCGCACGAGCCTCCCCGACCGGGGCTCAACTGTGCCGCTGACGGCGGCTCCTCGGCCGCTGAAGGCGGCTCTTCGCACAGGCTCCGACCGCTATGCGGCAAGAGCCGGGAAGGGCACGAGAAGAAATTTGAACACCAGATGGGCCGCAGAGCAGGAAAGGGAAGGATGAGGAAAAGACACAGGGGGCCCTCCCTTCCCCAGGCACTCCCCACTAAAACGTTACGTTCTCAGCTACGCTCGAACTCCCACGTTTGAGTGGGCTCATGCTTCGAAAACAACCCAGACGCGGCGCCCTATGCACCCGCACCCCATGATCAAAGACCCTAAACAGCAAGCGGCCCGGAGCGAAGCGCGGTTATCCTCACGACCGCGCGCCCCCGGGCGACGGCAACAGGCAGCTGTTCAGGGCAAAAACGGCAGCGAGCAGCGGTCGCGCGCCTTTAGGCACCGCAGGCGCACGAGCCTCACTGTCAGCTGTCACGGTCTATGCTCCTTGGGCTCTGCCTCAGGTCAGCTTCCCCCGGACTGCTGGCAATCCTGCGCTGTGCCACCGCGCGCGGGCGCGAGCTGCGCGCCGCCGCCGCGGCCGCGGCCGCCCCCCCGGGCCGCTGGGCCGGCCGGAGTGGCATAGGGCCGCCTGGCGCTGGCGGCGCCGCTGCAAGCGGTCGGGCACGGCCGGGCCGCGCGCGGCAGGCGGCGCGCCAGGGCGGCCCGCGGGCCGCCGCTGGGCTGAGCGGGGCTGCGCCTGGCGCGAGCGCCCCCCGCGGGCCCTCCCCCCTTTCCCCCCTCCCCCCCCCATCCCCCCCCGCGCCTGTGTCGTTGTCGTGTCGTCTCTCGTCCCCGTCGTCGTGTCGTGTCGTTTCCTGACTCTTGCCACGGGGCTCCTCTTGCGCTTGTTTAAAAAATGTTGAAGCGGATCGGCAATCCGATCCGGAATCGGATCGGCGATCCGCTGGTGGTCGAGCGATCATCGCTCGACCACCAGATCTACAAACAGGGAAGTACGCGTGGCACTTGAAGAAAAACATCCCCTTGCAGCCAACAACGCCAGAGATGAACGCGCTGCAACTGCCAATGACTTGTCGGAACAGGCGCATCACCAAGCCAGTACTTGTGTCTCCGCTGCACGAGGCGCTGGACGCAGAGACGGCGCTGTTGGAGCACAGCGGTGAATTGATCGAACCACCACTCGGATCCGAGTGGTGTGGTACATCCAGGAGGCATCGCCGTCGCATCAAGCCAGGCGACGCGCGTCGCGTCTTCCCCATCGTTGTATACATATACGGGACCAAGTTCACCAGGAGTATCGAACCTGGCAACGCCGACGGCTTGATATGCGTCACGGGCTACATCTTGTCGACGTACAACGGCCATGTCCTGTGCGTTCTGAGCAAGCGTGGGCTTTGCCGTTGCGGGCGCAGTGGTTGGGATTCCATCTGGGGAATGCTCAAACACCTTCGATGGAGTCTAGCAGCCGCCGCCGATGGCAAGCGGTCCGCCGCGCGCTGGGACCGGAGAGACTGGCCAGACGATTCTGCGTATTCAGTTGCAAATTGTGGGACATACCAGCTGGGACACAGGTGCGCGCCTGTCCAGATCAAAGCGGATTGGGCAGAATTCTGCTCGAGTTTGGGTTTCCCGACGTGGTCGGGTTCCAATTGTCCATGCTTCCCGCGCGCGGCTCGCAAGAATAATATGTTCGACTTCAGCAACGTCGCGATGGACAACCACGGCTGGGGTGAGCGCGAGCTGGACTATGAGGCCGCGTGCAGGAATGGCGAGGTGGAGGCGCTCGCGGTCGACGAGGGCGTCCGCAGAGCAATTTTGGAACAAGGCAAGCTCAGACATAAGACGAACTTCGGCCGCATCATCACACATCGGACCAGTCCTACGAAAAAGGCGATCGCATGGTACCAAGCGGTGGCCTCCACGGCGCGGCAGACTTCGAAGAGCAACCAGCGCCATTATCGGTGATATTCTGGCGCTCGCACATCGGCAATCTGCGAAGAAAGACATATTGGACACATTGCCGAACCCCGATCTTCTGTGAGGAGGTCGGCGCAACGTCAGGAGATACGACGCGGTTGGATAGTATGCACACTATATACCTTGGAGTAGTTTCAAGATTTGAACACGCAGTGATCAATAGGGCCATTTCATGTCGGTACGAAGGTTGATACGTCTGATGCGACCACGCTGCTGTTGTTTAACGACTACAAGAAGTGGTGCGCAGCCAATAACATTGATCTTTCGCACCAGCTGAGCACGCTGATTCCTCCAATGATTGATGGGGTCCCGCACTCACCCGTGCATGAAGACGAAAGCTGCAGAACCAGGTGCGTTGTTGCGCTGGGAAGCATCCTTCTGTTATCCAGAAAGCAAGAGGCTCAGAGACGCGGGCGTGCTTATGGCAGCTGGCACACCCCTCGCCTTTTACGTCGACACGTCAAGTCAGAAACTTTCAGCGCAACGTGGGTGAATATCAGGAGCTTCTCGATTTTGTGCTTGAAGCACCACCATTTGATGGATGGGATGGGGATTCAACGTCTTCCCACATCCCACATGTGGGCCCACATGACGCTCAATTTCCACTGACATGGGAACCCGTGGTTTTACAGCACACCCACTGACGAGACTTCGAATGTACGTATTACCTGCATGGCTGCTG